TTTTCTTAGCCTAAAAAAAAAAAGAAAGCACAAGACACCAACATATGTTATATATAAATACACAAGAAGCAACCAAACCCAATTACATGCACCACAGGGAGGTTAAAAAAAAAATTACACTCATCCTTTGAGGAGAAATGCTGGCTCAAGTGAACATCTCCCCCACTAAGATTTCTTTTTGTTTGTTTGAGCTCAAGCTAGCCATAAACAAACTTGAGTAGTATTAAAAAGTGTCATTAGAGTTTCTTGGAATGGTGATATAGTCTGTGAACTTGAATTCTACCAAAGAGATAATCAGAATATCCTAGCAACCAGAAGAACAGCATGAAGATGGAGGCAGGCAGCAAGATGCCCATCAACAAATCTGCCCCACTGCCCAGAGGCAATCAGTGCAAATATTCTGGTACATTTCTCGGTTTTCACCTATGCCATTCTAGGAAAAACTTGGGAGAAAATCTATGTAAGCCTGAATCCCCTTAGCCTATATAGCTGTGTAGTTTTTTCCTTCTCATAGTGTGTTAATTTGGCTAGGATATAGTCCTTGGTTATTCAGATACTGTATCTAGGTGTTGTTTTGAAGGTATTTTGTAGATGTGATTACAATTCAGTTTTTTATTTTTTTGAGACAGGGTCTCACTCTGTTGCCCAGGCTGGAGTACAGTGGCACGATCTTGGTTCACTGCAAGCTGTGCTCCTGGGTTTAAGTGATCATCACACCTCATGGGACTACAGGTACACCACCACATCTGGCTAATTTTTTTGTAGATACGGGGTTTCACCATGTTGCACAGGCTGGTCTCAAAACTCCTGAGCTCAAGTGATCCACTTGCCTTGGCCTTCTAAAGTGCTGGAATTACAGGAGTTAGCCACTGTTCCTGGTCAGACTTTAATCTGAGTGAGCTGATTCAGTTTGAAGGCCTTAAGAGTAGAGTTGAGGCTTCTCTGAAGAAATTTCACCGGCACTGCTTCAGCCCCTTCTAGAGAATTCCAGCTTGACCTTTCTGATGGCCTGCTTTACAGATTTGTGGACTCACATAGCCAGCCCTCACAATTGTGTAAGCCAATTTCTTGCAAGAAAACTCTTTAATATCTATCTATCTACTACTGGTTCTGCTTCTTGGGTTGAATCTTGACTAATACACATGAGAAAAGAATACTATGACCACTGTTCCCAAGCAAGTAGTGCCCTAGGATACTGCATTCTCTTAGGTGATTATATTATTAGACTAAGAAGCAATGATCAACATGCCAGATTCCAGACTTTCTTTGCCCTTAGGTCCTGATATGGTTTGGCCTTTGTGTCCCCAGCCTAAATCTCACCTTGAATTGTAATAATCCCCATGTCAAGGGCAGGACCAGGTGGAGATAAATGAATCGTGGGGGGGGGTGTTTCCCCCATGATGTTCTTGTGATAGTGAGTTCTCATGAGATCTGATGGTTTTATAAGGAGGCTTTCTCCCTTTGCTCGGCACTTCTCCTTCCTGCCACCATGTGAAGGACGTGTTTGCTTCCCCTTCCACCATGATTTTAAGTTTCCTGAGGCCTCCCCAGCCATGAGGAACTGTGAGTTAATTAAACCTCTTTCCTGTATAAATTACCCAGTCTAGCAACGTGAGAATGGACTAACACAGGTCCAATTCTGGCCACCCCTCAACCTCTCAAACCATTGGAGTTGACTTCCTGGGCAGTCTTAATATGATTACCTTCCAACTCTCCAGGGAATATCCAGGAGTAATTTCAGAAACTACTAACTCCAACGCTGGTTTGGAGGACAGGAAAATTCTTAGCAGAGGCTAATTAGAGATACACGCTTTGCCCCAGGATCTCTAGAACCATCTCAATACTTTGAAATTTTTTACCTTCACACACTGGGTAATGAATGTTAAGTACAAAATATTAATGGGTATTGTGGTTAATTAGGAATAATAGGCAGAAGATTATGACCCATTTCAGCCCATCCTAAAATTTACATTTTATTACATTTACGGTTGTGTCCAGAAAGGGGATCATCACTTAATTTTAGCAAGTCCCCAAACATAGTTGTTTTGACTGTATATGAAACTAGAACTTATTGATTACCCTGTATAATTTACATGAGCCTACTGAATGATGGTTCAAGAAAACTTGCAAATGTGATACCACAGTGAGATATTTAATGTTTAATGTAACTTTTCAAGGTGATGAAATCAATTACTCAGGTAGTAGAATAAGTTATTGTCATGTAGTATAAACAACTGCTTATTCATTTTCTGTAATAACCTTTGTGATATTAAGCAGCTTCAATAGCTCCTTTTATACTGGTCTCCACTATAAGATATGAGACATGATTTTCTTGTGGTGAATTTATGCTAAGGTACTTACTTGAGTTCCCTGCTGAGAACTACATTAATTCTATCCTTTAAAGGTCGATTCTTCTCAGGAATGGAGAACCAGGTCTTCCTACCCATAATCACCAGATTCTGTTTATCTATAAAATCACAAAGAAAGCCTAAGTATATTTTGCGAATATACATATATTTTCATATGTTTATATACAACAGGTCCTTGAATAACATCATTTTCGTCTAATGTTGATGAGAAAAATAATCAATTCCTGGCCAGGGCCACACTGTCTGTGTGGAGTTTGCATGCTTTTCCCATGTCTGCCTGGGTTTTCTCTAGGTTCTTGTTTCCTTCCACATCCCAAAGATGTGCACATTATTAATCTTTCTTAAACATATGTAAAACTCTTATTTATTTCAGTGTTTAATATTAGAAGTGTTTTCAGCCTTCATTTAGAAGTTTTGTGATTTTTTTGTGACCAGGAATATGCCCTAGGAATTTAACTCTTGTGCATATCAAGTAGCCTACGGTAAAATTGGTTTCCCTATATATTGTTTCACTTACAGTCAGTTTTCAAGAACTCACTGATGACTTTAAATGAGGACTTAGTTCAGGTATGTGCATGGACATGACTGACATTCTGCCATCTAGTGGATTTCCTTTAAAAAAATTGAAACTTAAAAGACTTACCAAAGTTCATACTTACCACTCATATCCTAAATATAACTATTTTTCCCTTTGGAATTATCCAATTTATATCCAATATTCAGTCTTAATTAATTGCAATTGTGTATAACATAGTAAAGAGTAAAGATTCTAGGTCAAAGTGCTCAAGTTGAATGCATTTTCTCATCCACAAGACAAACCATGTTAACCCCTTGTGGTTTACTTAATAAAATAGAGATAACAGTAGTTCCTGCTTCTAGGGTTGTTGTGGGAATTAAAAACTTAGAATAATATTCAGCCTCTAATCAGTACGGTCACAACTGTTTGATATAATTGTATTACTCCTATTTGTGTACCTTGCAGATTTACATTAAATCATACTTTTAAAAATAGCTGCTTAATGTTCCACTCAATTACCTTAAAACATGTTTAATTATGTCTCTTTCCCATTCTTTTAAGTAAACACTTCTATACAAATCTTTTACATATAGCTTCCACTTTTGGTTCATTTTCTTAGAAGAATAACTTTGAGAGTCAGCTATCTGAACCAAAGAAACATTAAGATTACCAGACCATAATGGGGTTTTTGAGAGTGGCTTTTATTAATTCTTTAGCTATAGGCTCTTGCCATCATCTCTACCAGTGATCTAAGTGTCAAACCCAAATGCCTTGTATCTGTCCCATTAAAGAGATACAGCATCTGCTCTTTCCTTACTCTTTGTTTCCCCTGCCCATGCCTCCTCTTAGGACCATAAATATCCACGTCTCTTAGGTTTTAAAAGGAGCATCTCTTAACCCCCTCTTTTTCTTGGTTATCCCCTTCCCTCCAATGGTTCAATTCACCTACACCCTGTGGCTGAAATTAACCCAGATGTCCTAGAGGTTCCTCATCACTACAGTGGCACATTATTCTCCACTCCTTTACTTGTCATGCGAGCTTTCAAACTGATAATCTGAGGGTTCATCCTTGATTCATCATCTTTAGATTCCAGATCTCCAAAAGCCAGGGTCATGTAACCTTAAAAAAGTTTTTACCCTCTCTTTTCCACTGCCCTCGTTCAGACCTTATCATCTCTTCGAGAAGCTGTTCCAAAGGCTTCCTCTGCTTTTTTTTTTGAGAGTGCTAACCTCCAAGGAAGCCTCCACCCAGCTGCCAATTCTGTCCCTTGCCTGAATTTGCTCATGACTTAACATAAAATTTCTAAGACAAAAAATTTTTAATAATGATAAACCTTGGGAACTGCATAGAGATCCATAAGAGAAAAGGTTCCAGATTAACACGGACAATTTTCCATTTAACTAGCATTTGCATTGGTAAACTTAAGCAAGACCCTACTGAATCCCACATTACCTTCTACTGAAGAGGTTGTGGTCATTCTCTGGAAATACCTGAATTCATTCCTACAAGTTAGAGAAACACAGCATTACTCTAAACATTATCCCTTCGGCTCGAGCTCTAACGCACCCGACAAATGGAGCGCTGGGGGCAGGGACGGGGTGTTTACTCCAGGACTGGGACTTTGCTCTGGACAAGGGCGCCGCAGGGCAAAGACCTCACAGGCAGCAGGATTCGGGTAGAAATCAGCAACTTGGCCTCCCGCTCAGCAGAAAGGGGAATCCAGCCGGATCCACCCCTCCAGTCAGCGCAGACCGCAAGTTTGACCCCATCCTCCCGCCGCAGGTAGGCCAGGCGAGTCCCACCCAGGTACCCCGACTCCAGACTTGCGCCAGTCTGGGTCCCCTCACCCCGGCCCGGCAGATACCTGAGCGGCGGCCAGGGCAGGTCACCGTTCTTGCCGATGCCCATGTTCTGGGACACAGCGACGATGCAGTTTAGCAACTGAACCATGACAGCAGCAGTGAACACTGAGCCCGCTCGATACACCACGACCCGCGGCCAAGTTTGGCGCGAAATCATCCGCCCCGCCTCCTCGTCCTTATTTGTGCAGGCGAGGCCCCGCCCCCCGCCCCGGCGCACGGCAGGGTCGCGACGTGCTCGCGTCCGCAGACGCCTGGGAACTGAGGCCGCGGGCTCGCGCTCCCGGCTGTGTCCTGCCTCCGGGCTGCCATCCTTGCCCTGCCATGTCTCGCCGGAAGCCTGCGTCGGGCGGCCTCGCTGCCTCCAGCCCAGCCCCTGCGAGGCAAGCGGTTTTGAGCCGATTTTTCCAGTCTACGGGAAGCCTGAAATCCACCTCTTCCTCCGCGGGTGCAGCCGACCAGGTGGACCCAGACGCCGCAGCGCCCCCAGCGTCCACTTTCCCGCCCCAGCTGCCGCCGCACGTGGTAGGTGCTGTCCGGAACTGGGCCGAGCCGTCAGGACCAGGGGGCGGGGCTTGTGGGTGAGGCGCGGAGGTGGGAACCCTCCGCCAGATGTTTGGGCTGGAGGAGGAAGGGGCGGGCCGAGGAAGGGAAAGTTGGGAAGGGCCCAGCCGGGGCTACGTTCTAGGTGTAGCGCTGAGTTTTTAGTACTTCAATTTGTGCTGATTAGACCACGGTCACGCTGGTTTTTAATGGCAGGCCTGAGACAGGAACTAAGGTCTTCTGACGAGGAGGCTTGTGGGCAAGGGGTGCGTCTTTTAACCTCCATTTTTTTTTTCTTGGTGGTTGAAGGGTTTTACTGATTTAAAAAGTGCTGGATTGGCTAGAAGGAAGCTGCTGTTAGGTCTCCGGTTTTTAAGGCTGCAACAGCACTGCTCAGTATTTCAAATCATTAGGTTAAAAGCAATCATATTGTGCAGTTCCCCAGTGACTGCAGTTTTTGTAGTTTAGATTATAAAGTCTGAAATACAATTTGGGTGGATAAAGTTTCTTAGGATGGTTATAGATGTGATTAATCATGGGGTCCTTCCTGTTGCCATCCTTCAACGCAATACGCGCATTTGTTTGTTTTTAAACCAGAGATACTGCCACGGGAAAAGCCCCTCATTGGGGCTCCCTGCACAGTATTTCTCAAACCGAGGCTGTGGAAGGGCATTGAAGACTGGTTTTTAGCCACCTACTGTGTTTTAATGTAGGTGACAGCTTGGGTGCTTCAAAATCTTGTTCCCTTCTTGTATATTTCTCCCTTAAAGTGATTACTCGTCTTCTGTTTTGTTTTGTTTTGTTTTTAGGATGACCTACATTTTCATAAATTCACCAAAATTTTGATCCACCATTTAGAGGATAGTTGGTGAAGGATTTACGTATGCTTTTGGCAGGTTTTCTGCCAAAAAAAGTTCATAATCTTGTCACATCTTTAGTGATGAACATAAACCATTTAAACAGGAAACACTTAAATGGACATGTGTTTGGAATGAACATGTCAAAAATGATACTGTTCTTTTATTACCTATCTTTTCCCCTCTAATGGTGCCTTTGCTACATAGCCGTTTCTTAGAAGTATTTTATTTAATATATGTAAGTAGGGTGATTCAAGTTTTATAATTAGAGAAAGCTGAAGGCTGATTATTGAGTCAAGACAGGTAACCAGCTTTGGTTTCAATTAATTCTACCAGGGCTTGAGTTGCTGAGGCTCCTGACTTCAGTCATCAGACTCTACCTTGTCTTTGATGGTGTTCAAAACAGTTCACCCATAGGCTTTTCCCATAGGCTAAAAGTAGGGGATTCTATTAAGAGTGGATGGCAAGGAGTTTGTCATTCAGATGTAAGGTTTAAATTACTTCACATACATCAAGCCTTCTCAGAATGGAGATAACACATCATTTTCTACCCTTCCTGATATAGACTACAGAAATTGACAGAAGTAGGAAGAGACCATTGGAAAATGATGGGCCTGTTAAAAAGAAAGTAAAGAAAGTCCAAGAAAAAGGAGGAGGAAGTGACCTGGGAATATCTGGCAACTCTGGTGAGTTGTGGGGGATTCTTTTTTCTCTTCAGTCATGGCTTGGTTATTCTTCAATTTTCCAGAGGGCAGAAGAGCCTATTGGAGTTGTGTCTTTTTTCTTTGTGGCGAAAGGTCCCTTTTGTGCCTGAGCAGAGTGGCCAGCTATAGGTGATGGTTATGTGTATAGGAGATGAAGGGGATGGTAGAGCTAGAATTCTACAATTTAGCTCTAGTTCTCCCAACTTTTTCTTTTATTCCTTCTAGCTATTTTTGTCCTTGTTATAAAACATTCTTGCTACAGAAATTTCAAACAGTACAGAAATTTGGAAGGTAGGCAGCGATAGACCCCATAATCCCTCCCTTTCAGTAAGGCCCACTGCTAATTGGTGTTCTGTGTATACTTCCAGATTTTAAAATTTATGCACATGTATATGTGCATACTCATAAGCCCACAAAGTAGTTTAAATAATTATATTTTACAGATTATATTCTATGCTAATTTATTACTATCTTTTTCCACTTAATAGAACAATTTTCAATATCAGGACATGTATGTAGATCTACTCCCCCCCCCC